GAAAAAAATTCCCAGCGGGAGATCCACACTGAACAACCTCAGTGTCAAATCGAGACCCACGCAAAGGAGAGCAAAACGTAAGAGAGAATGTTTCGTGACTAAATTATTGCTAGTGGTAGAGAAGAGGATGTGTTGGGATGTCCTTTCCTTTATTCTGACTTTACAGTGCGTTTATGTTTATGGGGTTTATTAATGAATATGGTGTGTGGAGCTGAGAATTAAAATGTCTATCAGGTCAATTTTAGCAACGAGTATGGAAATCAGCACAAATGCACTTTAATTGTTCTAAACAAAAACAAAACCCAATTAATTATCTGGTTGTAATTCGAATACCAACATGCTTCGTTCTGCATTGATACGCGTTGCTACGATCGGATCAGGAGGAGGAACACTTTGGAGAAGCTCCATCTACTTTAGCATCAAATTCATTATTTCTTTTTATATTACTTTCCGGTTATGTTGAAGGATTTTTCCTTTTCTAATATCATTTCGGTTGAGCGGGGTTTAGAGTTACTTCCTAACCTAATTCCCACTCACAATGTTCAGGGATTTGATTCAGAGTATTAAAATTTGTCGAGCAATTTCATGCAGTTTAGATCTAAGAAGGATTTTTGTGTCGTTATTTACATTTTCCGCTGATACGGGCTCTCTCAGAGCTGGGGTGGTTATAAACGTCGTTAAAGGGACATTTCTCAGTTTTAAATGAGACAAATAAACATTTTCCACTGTTTCTGAAGCTGCCGTTTCTTTTTTTCTGGATTTAAATCATGTTTTGCGTTGTTTCCCTTAATGTATTTTCCATTAATAAAATAAAATAATTTCACAAACTGATTGAGATGTCCATCGTTTTAATCAGTTAGTGTAAAATCATCTTCCTTGTGAAGGAGGGCTCAAATTATTGTTTTTCTCTATAAACACAGTAAATTATTAACATGAGCAATAATAAAAAGCAGCTTATGGATTTTGTAGTACAGATACTTTTATGAAACAAAATATTTGGTTCTGACAATTATAAAAACACTGAAACCCTTTTTTGCTTTTAACGCTATTATACACAAAGAAAAAAGGTGTGAATATTGCTCATTTATTTATTTTTTAGCTTTTTTTACTCACTAATGAAAAAAAAAATGTCAATAATGTGATATTATGTAGATAAATAATGTTTACCTCTGACTCAGAAAGGCAGTACACAATCCAGGTCTTTTACCATTTAAACATTTATTGGTAACGCTTCCTTTTACAGTCCCCTAATTACTAAGTACTTACATGGTAATTACATAGTAAGTTAAAGTGTATTATTCTTTCTGAGTTCTTAAACAGTTATTACCATGTAACTCATGTTCAATTTTTGTTTTTATTTTTATTAATCATTTCCAGTAAATACTGCTTTACACTATAATTACACTTTATTACAATTATACACTTTAATTACACAATAATACACTTGAACTTACTATGCAGTTACCATGTAAGTACTTAGTAATTAGGGGACTGTAAAAGGAAGTGTTACCCATTTATTTCCTAACATTAAAAATATGATTACATGAGGTAAGTTTGATTAGCGAAGGTAATGTTATTTAAATCTGAAATAAAATATGATGGATACAAGGGAAATAGATGAACAATCACAGTTTTAAGTCACTTTATGAAAAAAGCAGCAAATAAATGTTTCATTTCATCATTTTAAGAAACCCTGAGCTCACCACTTTCATCATTATTGATGTTTCCAGACCAAGGCTGCTTCGTGCATCTGTGTATTAGTTTGTACACGGTTCTGTGTAGGATGCAATTATGAACACTATGTAGTCCCTGAGCAGTGGCCTTGTCACCATACTGACACGTTACATTACCAGAGCGGTCCCAGACGTCCTCGGCTAACTCGTCCTACGGTATAATAAACAGCTTTTCAAATCTGAAGGAATGTCAAGACGGAGATTTTCTTCCATAAATCTGATTAAAACACGTGTTTAACGGCGATGAGAGCTGCACATTTAAAAGTGTATTTAAAACATTTTCTGTGTAAAAATTAAAAAAGAACCTGCTGTAGTTTCCTGAGCAGCCTGTTTGGAGAAGCAGATGAATCCATCTTCCAAAATCTATCTCTTCAGTGTATCCAGGGGTTAGTACTTTGTTAATATTCTTGACAAAATAATAAAGGTGTCAGGTTGGATGGGCTGAGCTGAAGCGTAGCGGAGGTGATTGTAGTGTGGCTGTGTGACCCAGACGCGGAGTGACTGGCGTTTGGTTACAACAGGAACGCAGTTTGCTTTAGGAACGGCGAAACAGCACTCGCATGGAGTCGAGGCTGAGTCGGGGTTCCTTTTAGGTAGGGAGCTGTCGTGATGGAGTGCAGACAGCGTGGAAAGTTCTCTTTCCTGGATTGATTTAGGAATAGTTCGGTTGGGCTGGTTTGGCGTCTGTCATGAGACGATGACTGAATGACAGCTCAGCGGTGACAGTTCCTTAAATAGCTTCCGCGTGTCACGTCACCGAGTAGCGTCGGTGGCGGGAATGCTGGGAAATGGAGTGCTGCGCCAACCCGGCCCGCAGAGGAGGTCAGGGGGAGGAAGAGTTTGCGACAGGACCCCCCCCCCCCCCCCCCCCCCGCACGAGGGACGGCACCAGAAGTCCCAGGGCGACGGGACCAGAACTCCGTCAACAAGGTCGGGTCCAGAAAAGAACGTGCAGGTTCCCAGGAGCGTTCCTCCGGGCCGTAGCCCACCCAGTCCACCAGATACTGCCACCCACGGCCCTGGCGACGGGCATCCACAATCTTGCGGACAGTGTAAACCTGGTCGTCACCCACAACACGGGGCGGAGGCCCCCGCCCGCAGAGGAGGTCAGGAGGAGGAAGAGTTCATGACAAAAGGCTTATACCTTTTTATTGGATAATCTGTGGCTTAGTTACCGCACTTAGCCTTAGAGATGAGGCTAAGTCCGGTCACCCGGACAGCGACTGCTGCAACTCCACATCAACACATGTCAGGTGATTTGGGAATTTGGTTGGAATGCCTCCTGGACGCCCAGGGAAGGCGTTCCAGACAGTAGGAGCCCCCCAGGTTGTCTAGACCTGGATTAGAGGAAGTTTGGATCATTTAAAGTCGACTTTTCCCAAAGGACCCAACATCAAAGCAGATTGTCGTTGTCGTCGTCCTAAGCTGGGTGTGCACGGTGCAACTTTTCAGTCGTTGGGTTAAGCTCCATCTCAAAAGTATAACTTTGTCGCAGAGCACAGCTCAAATCACGTTCTCACGCTTTACGATCTGGTTTACTGTACAACGAGTTGTACGCAACATGTCGGACTTTTGAATACGGGATTGCAAAGTCTACGGAGCAGAAAGGCCTGGGAGAGGACACTGTAGTGCTGCCGTAGATGCCTGTGGTCCTCGAGGCTTGCTGTAGTTGTGGGAGGACACATCGGGGTTCATGGGGGTGGATGTAGAAGAACAAATGGTAGAAAGTAAACTTAGGTTTAGGATCTGTTTTTTAATATAAACTCAGTGAACATTAACGAGACACTCACCCAGGCGGGAGAGACTTTTCAACACAAACACATTTTCTGGACAATCCTTGTCGCTGTGTGCAAAGAAGAGTAAAACTAAGAAGAGACGACGAGGATGGACGGAGGTGACTGGGCAGATGTGTTGGTGCATCTGGTGTGTGTTCATGTAGATCTGGCTCACAGCGCTGCTTCGACGGTGCAACACCATCACGACGAGGGATGAGAATTTCAAACATGTTAGATTTCATGCCAATCGGGAGCTAGTCACGAGGTGTTAATCGCGCCTCGCGTCCTCCTTTATTCCCCGTGATGCCCAAAACTCGGCCTGATCTCAAAGATTGTTGCAAGAGTGGAAAACCGACCAAGTGGACGATTGTACGTTAAATGCCCAATTTTACATCAGCTCAGACCTACTAATCATAATAAATATCAGTTATTTCACGAACATTTTACAACATCTTCTGTTTTACATTACATGGTTTTTACAGCAGAAGCATAAATCAGTTTCTGCCTAACTTGACCCCTTGACCCCATTAACAGATTAGTTACTTAGTCCTTGGCCTGATAAAGCACATCAGATGAATGAAGAAGCTTCCTCTTCAGTGTGCACACCTCTAAGAAATTAACCAGATGACTCCTAAAATATGTCAAACACTTCCTGTTTGATTCAAACGAATGAACTAAATTACACAGGCGAGCGTTTCACTTCCTCTAGTTTATTAATAGTCGTGTTCTGTGTAATCCTTAACCTCAAAATAATCTGTCATGTTCCTCTTCGCACTTCCGCTGTCTTTGAATTTGTCACACATTAACATTAATTTAATTTTAACTGGGAAATTAAGCTGCCGTACTGTTATAAATCCATGACAGATTGCCAGGAGGCACATGAAACCGTGTGTGTGTGTGTGTGTGTGTGTGTGTGTGTTCTTATATTTAGTGAGCTCTGCTGAAACACTGAATCTCTCTTCAGAAATGAGCAAAGCTGCTGAATGTCTGTTCTTTCTAGGAGTGTAGAGACTGGCTGCTGGTAGTACTGGTGGTATTTTCTACATTATATGTGCATTAAATCAAGTAATTAAGTTTAAAATAATATTTATAATGAAGTAAATACTTTTCACTTCCCACGATTAACCGTTATCCTAATTATTTTTTTTTCGAGTTTTAAAGTGACAGTGTGAGTTTGTCCTGGCAATAGGGGGCAGTACAAACCTAAATCACTGCAAGGAAAGCATTAGTTTTGTGTTCAATTAAGACCGTACCAACGGAGGGCCATTAGGGTCAGAAATCCCTGGGAGTGCAACCTCCAGCAAAATGACAAGAACATCAGATTCCCTTTGATCCCTGGCAACGAGTGAAGAGGTAAATGTGTAAAGCAACAATATTTATTAATGGTGAAAGTTTTGTAACCATTTGCTACGAATCAGTAAATGCATTTTGTCCTCACGGGCTTCCGTAGAAGGAAACATGTCATCCAGTATGGCATCGCCCAGAAACTTAGACCCGCTCCATGTATTTATAACAGATTTTAATGGTTATATGTTATGAAACTGCCAATATTTTTCAACTACTGGGAATCTTTAGGTCATTTACTACAACATTTTGATGGATATTTCCAGAGATTAGCGGTAAAAACTACACATTATCTCTTTATGCATTTCTGAGTATTTTTAAAGCCACAACTTGTAATCCAGTTTCAACGTATTTGAGAGATGACACTCTTCTGGAAAAGCCTTTTCTGCTCTTATTGGTCAGTTTCAGCGGCCTGTTGTTTTTTTTTTTTTTTTTCATTATAATGTAGGAGAATTTCCCATTTATTTCCATAGAGGGGTTGGGACTGCAGCCAGCCACTAGAGGGTGCTTAAGTTCTCATTTGGTCCAACAAAATGGTTTAATCCCTAACAAATTTAAAGAAAAAGTTTTAAAAAGTGCTTTAATATCTACTGTAAGGAAGCTCAGTGATGGCTAAGTGGCCTGTGTGGCATTTGTTGAATTAAATGTTAATTAAAACTATTTAATCTAATCATTATCCAGCTTAGATCTGTCCAATTAATTACTTTTATGTAGGTCTTCATTTTAATTAAAAAAACATTGTAATTTCTTAAGTTTTAACATATAAAAACAAAAGCATGAATATTCAGAGAATTGTCACTGGAGATTTAAACCAGATTTACTTCATTAGCTTTTTTTCTTCCCCTTTTGGGTCAACTTTGTGTCATTAAGCTCTTAACTTGGGTATTGAAATCTAGAGAGGGGATTTTAACTCTCGCTCATGGACGGCTTGCTTTCCTTCCCTGCTCAAACGACCTTGACTCAAAGGTGACGTTGACAG